AGTCCTAGCCACAGTAATTCGTGGAGGAAAAACAAAACAAAACAAAACAAAACAAAACAAAACAAAAGGCAGGGAAATCAGTAAGGAAGACCTAAACTGTCCCTGTTTGCAGATGCCATGATCTTATATGTAGAAAATCCCAAAGACTCCATAAAAAACTTTTAGAACAAATAAGCAAATTCAGTAAAATTACAAAATCAACATACAAAAATCAGTTGTGTTTCTACACGCTAATAATGAACTGTCTGAAATGGAAATTAGGAAAAACAATTCCATTTACAACACCAAAAGGAATAAAATACTTAGGAATAAACCTAACAAAGGAGGTGAAAGGCTTGCATACTGATATAAAATGTTAATGAGGGGCACCTGGCTGGCTCAGTAGGTAGAGCATGTTGAGCACTCTTGACGTTGAGGTCATGAGTTTGAGTTCAAGTTGGGTGTGGAGATTACTAAAAATAAATAAACTTAAAAAAATCAATGAAGGAAATTAGAGAAAACACAGCAAATGGAACAATATCCTATAGTCATGTATTGGAAGACTTAATATTGTTAAAGTGTCAGTCTTTAAATTTTTATGACCAACTTGTCATTTTCAGAATTTTATGCATTTTGTGTTTTCAAATTGATATGAATGTTCATAATATTGTCTTATTTTTTCTATTTGTTATGTCAGTTCTACTTCTCATATTTCATTTTTTCTAATTTTCTCAGTAATTTTTTAGATGAGGGAGAGGGAGAGAGAAAATCTTAAGCAGGCTCCACAACCAGTGCAGAGCCCCACACAAGGCTCAATCTCACCACCCTGAGATCATGACCTCAGCCGAAATCAAGAGTCAGATGCTTAACCAACTGAGCCATCCAGGCACCCCAATTTTCTTAGTAATTTTTACCATAGGTTTGTTTAATTAATTTCTAGAAAAAGCTCTTTTTGTAGTCATTCTATTTTGTTCCTTTTTATTGATTTTTGCCTTTAGTTTTATCTACACTTTTTATTTCATTGCATTCACTGCTTCTTTTGTTCAACATTGGTATATGATAAGTATAGTTAAGATGATAAATTCGCTCTAACTGCTTCTTTAGATTTATCCAAGAATTGTAAATGTCATCTTTCCCTTGTTTGCAAAATGTTAAATTATGTAAGCACATTTTTTCTTTTCCAAAGAATTTTTAAAGTAATGTTTATGCTTCATAATGGCAGGGATTTTTCCCCTCCCTTGTTTACTCTTCTGTGTCCTAGGTTTCTATCTTTTGTGTTTTTAACCTATTTGTATATGTTGTAGTAACTGATATAATAGGACATCTTTTCCATTTTATTTTTAACTTTCATATCATTTTAGTTATATTCTTTTTTCTCCCATGCTGTTATGAAGTTAAATATTCTTTTGTTACTATTCTTCTGATGTTCTCTCCTAACTTACTAAGGACAATACTTCTCTTTATTTTATAATGTCAATTTCTTTCTTTTTTTTTTTAAGATTTTATTTATTTATTTGACAGAGAGAGACACAGTGAGCGAGGGAACACAAGCAGGGGGAGTGGGAGACGGAGAAGCAGGCTTCCTGCCAAGCAGGGAGCCCGATGTGGTGCTCAATCCCAGGACCCTGGGATCATGACCTGAACCGAAGGCAGACGCTTAAAGACTGAGCCACCCAGGTGCCCCTATAATGTCAATTTCTTAAACATATATATCTTGCCAAAATTCTCACTTACTTCTCATATCTCATTTCCTCCCTCCATGTAGGTTTGAATTATTCAATTATTTTATTACAGAGATACAATTTGGGGGATCTTGCTTTTTTGGGACAATTATAAATTTTGATGAATTATTTATTCCTTCTACATATCTTTCTATGTTGCATCCTCCTGGATTAATGTTCATTTTTCTTAGAATACTTTTGAAAGTGTTTTCATGGAGAGTTTGGATGGAATAAATTTTATGAGAATTATATCCTTTACAGAAATCTTTTTTTATCCTATAATTGTATAATATTTTGTTTATAAAATCTGGAACAGAGTCTTTGAGTAGATTTTTAAAAATTTAGGTCCAGCAAAATATCTGACACTTGGGAAAAAAAAGAATAGAGAAAGATTAAAAATAAAGCAAAAGGAAAAGACATATCTGGCAAAAATGAAAAATAATCTAACAGAATGGTCTACATATGTTCACAAAAAGCCACGTATAAGAATGTTTATAGCACCACTATTAAAAATAACCCTAAACTGGAAAACAGATTTCCATTAACAGTAGCATAGAGAAATAAATGTGGTGTACAGTATTTACAGAATGGATAGTCTACAACAGAGAGAATGAATGAATCACAACTATATGCAGTCACAAGGAAGAATTCTTCAAACCTACTGTTGAGTGAAAGAACCCAGATACAAATGAGGTCGTCGTCTCTGATGCCATTTATATGGAGCGTACCAACAGGCAAGCCTAGTCTAGGAGGTTAAAAGTAGGACAGTGGGGTGGGGGCGGGGGGGTGGTGGTGGTGGTAGTGACAGGCTCTGGAGAGCTGGGAATGTGCAGTTTTTGATGTGCTTCCAGCTATGTAAGTAGGTTTACTCTATGACATCAAGTTGTATACTTGTGATGTTTGCATGCTCCTCTACAAATGATAAATTTGATGAAAAAATTAAAAAAAAATTAAATATACCTGTGTAGCAATGTTTATAAGAGACGATGCGGAATTCAAAGTTATTTTTCTTCAATATGAAAATTAACTCATTGACTTCTTGCACCTGGCACTGCCTTACGACATTTAAGGTCACTTTGATCCTCTTTCCTTTGTGCATTTCTCTTCACTTTTGAAGTTTTTTAGAATTTTCTCCTTGATTTTCTTAATTTGATCTTCTTGATGTCACTATACTATGTATATAAGTTGATTTTCTTTTACGTATCCTGTTTGGCAGCCCATGAGTCATTTAATCCTTTGATTATGTGTGGTCATGTTTCTGTTTATCTGGAAAGGTCCAGTCATGATATTATAATTACAGCCCTCAGGTTTACAGGTCCATGGATCCTTAATTAAAAGCTCTTTCCCAGCAACTTGTCAGAGGGTGGTGGTAAGAAAACAGGAAGATTTCAGGAGATGAATAATTCGTAGATCTGTTCACCTCTCTCTCTCTAAGAGCCAAGAACTCTGGAACTTGTTAAAAATAAGAATCTTCCTCACCAAACAAGTGGAAGGAAACCTCTCCCTGTAAGAAGACAAACAAACCAACCAGTCACTCTGAAAGAAGAGATCATTACAGAATTGATTGCTTAAATACAAAATTTGATTCTGGATAAAAATAAATGTGCATTTGTTTTTTTAAAAGCGTCTGTTGGTTAAATTCGGCCTCAAAACATTTTTTTTTAATTTTTGTAGGTGACATCTGGAGAAACTGAATAACATTTCTCAAAATTCTTCATTTCTGACATGCCTGTGTGGAATTGTGTTAAATTTCTGGACCTGAGAGAATCCATCTTGATGCTCCATTTTCCTTTCCAACTAATGAACTCTTGAACCGAGCCAGAAGCGACAATAGTTTTACAAACAGTTAAATTTCAACACAGCAACTGGCATTCAGGTCATATGAAGACAGTAAAGGTAGTTAATACACACTAGGGACAACTTAATTTGGCAGCAAAAATAAAGCAATAGTTATCAGAAATGGCTCCACTGGTCAGCACCAAATTAGCACCTTTTTCCCTTATTTTCTTTATCTGCCTCATGTAATCACCCCTTCCTTCTTTTTCATAAAACCCCTTGCTTTCCCTACTAGAGCACAGCACTTTTCTGGTTTCCCCGAACCTGTGCTCCCCGAACTGCGATTCCAAGACTCCCGAAGAAAAGCCTTTGTTCTTTCTCGGTTTCACCACCTCCTGTTATTTAACACCTGCTTAACAATGCAGGTTGCCATTCCCGAGTGCTACCGCCCAACCGATGACTCCTCACCTCCCCCATTTCCTTTCTGTACCTGTGAAATGAAAATGGAAAAAATGTGTTTTCCCCCCCCACCCCCCGTGTGCTTTCTCAGTTTCCCCAACCGTCACATCTAAGAACTGGAAATATTTCAGGGCGGGGACTTTTAAACTGGAAACCCCATGTGGCCGGGCTCCTGTGGGGAGTACTTGAGGGCGCGTGGACCACCACCACGGCTCGGTGCCGGGGCGGGGCACTGGCCCGCCTCCCTGAGCTGGAGGCGCTCGGCGCTCGGCGCGCAGCGATGAGATCCCTCGGGCTTTCCAGCTGAAGGCGGCAACCGCGCGCGGCCGGGAGCGACCATGGGGAGGCCGGTGAGCGGGGCCGGGCGTGGAAGGAGGGCTCAGGGCGGGCGATGTCGCTCCGGCTGCCCTGGGGACGGCGGCGGCCTGAGTGCGTCCGGCGGCGGCTCGCCCGGGGCTGGTTGGGCGCTGGGCTTGGTGCCGGCGCTTTCCCCGCGACGCCTAGCTTTGCGGAGAAGAGGATTTTTGCCTCGCGAAGGGTGGTTTCCAGGCTGGTCCCGGAGCCCCGGTTCTCTGTGCCAGTTGTCCTAGAAGGATGCCGCCAGGCGGGGGCCTCGGAGACGGAGACGCTTCTCTCGAGATCATTGTCCTCGGAGGGGACCTGGGCGGGGAGGCGCGCGCCGGCGGTCGGCCAGTCCCCCGGGCACGCTGGCGGCTGGGCTCCCTGGCCCCGACCCGAGCGCACGAAAGCACGTCCTGTTGTATAATGTCCCAAGAAGGGGATGGCGGGTGCTGCTTTGGCTTCGTGCTGGCACCCAAAGCTGAGGTGGGGGCTGCAGGATTCAGGGTTCAGAGCTCGCTCCCTCCTTGAGGCACGGCCTCTTTCTCCATCCTTTGGTCCTTTGCCTCGGGAGCCGAAGAGGGCCAGATAAATCAGGGTTAAACCCCAGAGTATCCAGGAGAGACAGACATTTTGTTTATTCCGGATCTGTTTACATGGTGCAAACTGAATGAGCGGATTTTTATTTACATTGGGAGAATTGAAAAGACTAATAACAATACAAGATTAAAATCCAAATACAAGTAACACCTCAAGGTATTTTTTTTTCTTTTCTTTTTTTTTTCATATATGGTTTACTGGCAAGACCGCACGGCCAGTCATTTCAATATCTTTCTTAACAAAGGAGAATGGTGGCCTGGGAGCTTGTGTTTACTCGGCGCACTGGATGCTGCTAATCTTCACAACCATCCTTCAGAGGAGGAATTGTTATGTGCTTTTACAAATAAACAAGCAGAGAGGTTAATTTTCAGAAGCCCATGCGACTACACGTGATGGGAGCAGGATTTGCACCTAGAAATTCAGGGGAAAGAGGCATGGATAGGAGCAGTTAGCTGCCAGAGGGGTAGCTGCCAGGTAAGACCAGGTCTCTGGGAACCCTGGCCCTCCTGGCAAGGGGTAGAAGTGGATTTCTCCATTTTCATTTTGTACTCCCTGTATGTGGTTTGATTAATGGTTTTTTGTTTTTTTGGTTTTTTTTAGTTACCTAATATGTATTGGGATTTACTGTATCTTAGGCACTGTATTAAGTGGTTTCAATGCTTAATTCTCATAGCAACCCAATGAAATAACGATATTTATTTAGTGCTTACTCGTATCACTCACTATTCTGGGGGCATTACATGTACGAACTTGCGTAGTCTGTTTAATAGAAGGGTTAGTGCTGTTATTTTTGCCTCTTTTGGAGAGGTAAAGTCATTTGTCCTGGCTCACACATATGGTATTTGTGCTAACCCCACTCATCAGCCAGAATAATTATGTATATATTTAATAGCAAGGCTTTCCTTCTAATTCCCTTACCTCAGTCATTGTGTTTTCCTTCTTAGACATTCTTGGCTCCCAGCTCACACACTGTGTTCTGGTGTGCGTCTGCTTTCTCTCTTATCCTAAAACACAGATTTTCATTGTGAGAGCCAGTCCATTCTGTATTCCTCATCATCTTTGCTAGAATTTGGGTTTCCGTGTGAGAGAGAGGCATATGGTTAAAAAAAAAAATGGCAGGGAATTAGAATGCCAAAGAAGACTTTAGTTTTGGAAGCCAAGGTGTTGAGACAGCAAGAGCCTAAGCATTTGAGTTTTAAAAGCCTAAACACTGGAAAACCAAGGACATACGTTATTCCAGATGGGAAGAACGCAGAAGATGGAAGAACCAGCTTTCCTGACCCTAGGGCAAATACGTATTTTCTAGGCTGGGAGAGCAAAGAGGCCCTGATTAAAGTCTGTATTCAGACACAAGCTTGCCTTCTGAAAAGGCAGCCCTGTGCCTGATTGTGGTGCATGCGGAGGGAGTTCAGGAGGATGGTAAATAGAACTTACAAGGAGGTGTTGAAATCCAAGAACAGAAACCTCTGTGCCTGGCTTTCCTGGGAGAAACTGTGGAAAGAGACCAGCCTCCTCATCATGACAAGGGAAAAGTAAAACAGAGATGGATAGATACAAGGGCGTCTAGGCAGAGAGCTTGTAGAATTTCCCTTTGCCCAACCCAGGGGCACAGAATCAGCAGAACAAAAGAGAATGAGAGAAGACACTTTCGAAGCACAAGGTTTAATTGCACAAATCGATGACCATGATGACTGGAGGGGAACACAGCCATCTTAGAGAATGCTACCATGGATAGATGGTTGTAACCAAGGACTAGTAGCCCTGTCCCATGGCTTGGCATTGTGTGAGCCCGCAAGAATGGAGATGCAATGCCAGAGATTGGGACACCTGTGAAGTGCGGGGGTGGCAGGGGGCTGAATTGACAGAGATGATGTGATCTTGACTGCAGTGAAGTCTCTACCTCTAGTTGGAATGGCAACATGAAATAACAATGAAACTCAGGTAAAGAAAAATACAGAGAAACCTACATTTCTTACACATCTCTAATATAGAAAAATATAGGGAAAAATTACATTTCTTGCCTGTACCCTTATGAACACACACATGTAGATGAAGTGAATGGATCCATGGGGCTACTGTAGTTAGTCTGTCTACATCCACCCTCTCATTTTATATTAAAATGATACCCAGAATAACATCCAATTAAATGTCACCATGTAAAAATGCCAAGGATTTCTGCCCGGACACATGAAAACAAAGCAATACAGAAAAAAAATAAGGACACTACTTTTTTTTTTTTTTAAGATTTATTTATTTATTTGAGAGAGGGAGAGAGAGCTCCCACAAGCGGGAGGGACGGAGGGAGAGGGAGAGAGAGACAGAATCTCAAGCATATTCTGCACTGAATGCAAAGCTGGTGATGGGGCTTGATCCCGGGACCCTGAGATCATGACGTGAACCAAAACCAAGAGTCCGACGCTTAACTGACTGCACCCCTCAGTGCCTCTGGACACTACTGTTTTTTAAAAGGCTGCAATTCGTATAAAATTTGCAGAATTTTCAGGGAAATACTTCAGCAAACTCTAAGGCAGTCGTAACTTTTTGCAAAGTGGTCCCCCCTGAGTTCCGTCTTTAATGTTAACAGATGTGGATTCTTTGGGAAGTGGATGCTAGCATTTGTAGTCTCTGTGTTTTCTGTGTGTATTTATGGCAGTTTGTTTTCCCCGACCATCCTATGTCTTTGAGACCTGGCTCTTGACAATGGTGGCTTTGAGAGCGCGGCCTCAAATTGCTAGGGATTGCCATAATGGAGGAGCCATATTGCTGCTTTTCCCTTCCCATATCCTGAACACACTCTTTTATTTCTTCCAATTATAGTCTCCAGTTCTGTATCCACAAAACCAAAGTTATCTGGTGGTTAAAACTTGAGCTGCGGCATTCCCTGAGGTAGCCATGAGACTGAACCTTCCTTAGTTTTTTGTCCACATGCAAATGCCCATGTCTTTGCTTTGCTTTCTGTCTTCAGGTGTTCAGGAGGCTCTTCTGTCATCTGTCTACCTACAGACTGATTTGGTTCTTGGCAGCAGTGATGCTATGCAGGGCGCAAGGTAAAAAGATACCCAATTCCCCTGCATGGGGTCCAGGGAGCACAATTTCTGGAGTGGAGACATCTGGCTAGTGTTGTTTGTGCTGTGCTAGTTCATTTGTCTGCATGAATTATTTAAACATGTAATTTGCTTGGAGGAATGGGAGTGGTTCTTTCTGCTTTCCACATTTTAGTTTTCGAAGTGGAAAAAGGCTTTGACTATTTAGAAACTGTTTCCATAGATAAAACCAGATGTGAAGAAATTCTTTCTAAATTAAGATGTTTTTCACCTGTCAAAGCAAATGACTTTTACATATTATTTAAATATAATTCCCTATGTTTATAAAGATATGGAAATGCTTGGGGAGTATGAATGAATATACCCTTTTTAGAAGGTAATCTGGTAGTAAGCCTTTAAATTGGGCATGCCCCCTCTTTTACAGAAAAATATGGAAAATAATGAAATATAGAGGTTACCTTGGTTCACAGTCTATATAAAGCATATGCCTGTGCTGTCCACTTATTTGTTGAGTTTCCTAGTTGTGTCAGACCTTTCTCCTCTGTTCCATGGGATGCCACCCCTCACTTTGTCGCTGACCTTCTATAACCTTCCATGTGCTGTTGCTTTGTATCAGCCTTCACAGGTGGAGACAGGGCAGGCTTCCCACCATCCATGGCACAGGCTTTACCAACAGACTTGGGGGAATCTAAATGGAATTCCATAGAAGTATCCAAGAATTGTAAACTTTCCACTAAATTATTTCTTAGTCAAATAGAAAAATCACCTAAGAAGTTAAAACTCTAGCTCGGGTTCCTTTTCTACTCTCCATTCTAAAAGCAGCAATTTCTTCAAATCTCTGCTCTGCAAAATCTCAACAAACTTTCAGAAAACCCCAGCAACAGGTACAGCCTCCAGAACTTTTCACATCTACCAAGAGTACACCTCCTTAAAACTACACTTCTGCAATACTTGTGGGTTCCAATTTGTGTCTGTTGGTATGCCTGCCTTCTCATCCTTGACATTGTTGAAGGGCCACTGAGAGGACATTGCTTCTTTTTTTTCTAATGACACTAGCCAACGTGTTCTCTGTGTTATTCATTTAAAAAAAAAAAAAACAGATTTTGGTGTTTTTGATTAAGTCTACATGTTGTCTACCATTGCATTAATTTGTGCTTTCATCTATATGAATTCACTCCTTTTATCTTTTGAGGGGGTGGGATGTTTGAATACATGTGTGTATTCATTTATCAATCTCTCTTGTTTCCTAATGAAGTTAGGATTAAATATTTCCCTCTGAAGATGGCTTTATCAGTTTCTACGGATTTTAATACATTATATTCTCCTTGTCATTTATAGTAATTGATTACTCTTGCTATGACTTCTGGTGTAATGAGAGTTGAAAGAAGTATGTAAATTTCTTGTTTATTACATTGTGGACAGTGTTCAAGGTCATAGGGTAAGAGCTTTTTTTGCATCTTATTTCAAGTTCAATTTGGGGGAATGTTTGTAAAGATTGTATGTTCTCTTTTGGTAAAAGTTTATAAATACATACCTATATACACATACACATATGATTTATATATATAATGATTTATATATAAATATTCATTTTTCAAATCTTCTCATCCTTACATTTGACTTTTTTGCTTTATCTGTATTTTTTAATATGTGGAAGTGAAAATTCTGAGCAAACTATGGAAAACTCTCCCATTATTTTTGGGATTTAAAATTTTTCTTTTCAATTCTATGGCTTTTTATATGTTTCACTTATGTTCTTAGGCACAGAAAGGTTTGTTTGTTTAAAGATTTATTTTATTTACTTGAGAGACAGAGAAAGAGAGAACATGGTGGGGGGGGAGGGAGAGAGAGAGAGAATCTCAAGCAGACTCCCTGCTGAGTGTGGAGCCTGATGTGGGGCTAAATCCCATGACCCTGAGATCATGACCTGAGCTGAAATCAAGTGTTGAATGCTTAGCTGACTGAGCCACCCAGGTGTCCCAACATAAAGGTTCATAATGTATATATCTTATTTTATATTGCTCCTTTTATCATTTTGAAAAATACATTTTTGGCCTTACGGTGTTTTTTTCTCCCATTCTTCCTTTTCCCTTCTTGTAAGTCTCAGTGATGATGTTGAAACATTCCAGGTCTTTGAATTTTTCTTGAATTTTTTCCATATCTTTATGCCTTTGTGCTACATTCTGGAAGAATTCCATGACCTGCTTTTCCTACTTAACTAGTTGACCCTTCAGTGATGTCCATTCTGCTAAATCAGCCAAATCATTAAGATTTTATATTTGTCATTTTCTACAACTCTAATTTCTACTGTTTACAATGCTGGCTTCTTTTTACACTTAAGAGATCACACTTATTCACGTCAAAGTGTTTCTTGATTCATTATGTCTTTATTCATTTAGTTTGAGTTCCTGGGTTTGTAGAGTTTATTCTTCTTTCATTGAGTCAGCTTTCTCAAATGTCTGCCTCATTGTTATTATATTTAGATTTCCTATTGAATCATCTCTCATATCAATATGAGTAGCCAGCATTGGCGGGGGAAGAAATTATTGTCATGCCTTATATTCTGCATTGCATTAAGTAAAAATGTGGGAATGCGTAGTAAATTGTTATTTGATTGTCAAAGCTGTCTGGTACTACGTAGCCTCCTGAAGCATTGTCCCGCATATTCTTCTACCTTATGTTCCTATATTCACCACTGCTTCCTGGAGGCAGAAACTGCTATTGCTGACCCTTCTTTGTAGGGGGTGTGTGTGGAATGTATAGGGCTGTTACATCTTCTTCACCTAAACGGATCACTCTGCCAATTGTCCGTTGGCCCTTTCTTGCTTCTGCACCTCTAGGCATGAACACTCCTGGTGATGCTTCTAGTCTATCTGGCAATTTGCATCTCCAACCTCATTCTACCTGCTTTCAGCTTACAGGGATTCTTTGCACAATTTCTGTCACTGAGAGTTTGCTTTCTTGTTTTCTTACTCTGTTACTCTTAAAGATTGAATAAACATATTTGAACTTATATTTCTCTAGCAACATCAGGGATGTAGGTAAATGTTTTCTTTGCATTTTTCTCTATCTTTTCTATGTTTAACTTTGAACATGCATTTTTTTTAATCAGGAAAATGTATATTTTTTATGTGTTAAATTTTAAAATATAAATGTTCTTTTATGATTCCATGATAAAAGTCGTGACCCAAAATGAAAAAGAACTGCTGAACACGCCTGCTTCCTTAAGATGCTCTCTGCAAAATTCCGAGGAAGTCTTGATTGTGACATGGCAGAAAATCAAGGCTGTTAGCCCAGAAAACATGGTCACCTTCAGCAAGAACCATGGGGTTGTGGTCCAGCCTGCTTATAAAGGCAAGATAAACATCACCCAGCTGGAACTCAAGAACTCAACCATTACCTTCTGGAACACCACCCTGGAGGATGAAGGGTGTTACAAGTGCCTCTTCAATACTTTTGGTTCTGGGAAGATCTCGGGAACAGCCTGCCTCAGCCTCTCTGGTGAGAATCTCTGGGAATACATTGTCTCTGGCTAGAAATGTCATTTTCAAGAATGTTTGGAACATGGTGGTAGTGCCTAGTTTTTCAGGATCCTAACCTCAGAAAGGTTCATGAGAAGACACTTAGCCTTTCATGTCTGTTATGACTGTGTTTATGGTTATTTGGAAAGTTCATGGGGCTCCCTTGAATCTCTGCCTGGAGTTATCTTTGCTCTGAGGAATAGTGTTCTCAGCGAGAGTAAATTAAGGACCATGGTGAGGATAATGGGCTCTTCATAAGTAGTGGTATGATTCAGACCTGGCTTTGCCATTAGCAGTCATGTGACCCCGGGAGCGTCGTATCCCACTCTCTGAACCAGAGTTTATTTATCTGCACAGTAAGTATGAAATCGATCATCTGTAGGGTCTCTAACAGCTTTAACACTTTTGAATCTAAGGACAGAGCCAGATTGGGCCTACCCAGAGCCAGTTATGGCGGTCCCTCTCATTTTGTCTCAACATAGTTCTCTTGGGATATACCGCAGAGGCTCTTCGTACCTGCAGTCAGCTAGGTATTTTAACTGGATAATAAGCATTCTTTTACAATCCAAGAGGCTTAGTTTGACAAGTTTCTTTTCCGTTTAACTGACACACAGCTGGGATCAAGAATTGAGAAGTGGGAATAAGGGGTAACTTTGGAGCACAGCACACTTGGTGGCAGTTTTAGAAGGGAAAAGAGAAATTTAGACAGCGTTATCAGGAATGTTAAAGTGAGAGTTTGAGCACACCAAGAATATTGGACATGGGGTAAGGGGAGGATCAGTAAACGAGAGTGCAGGGGAGGTATGGCAACAGCAAAAAAAAAAAAAAAAAAAAAAGGTTTCTTTCACTTATTTTGCCTATAATGAGTCCTCTCTGCAGGATCTTATGTCAGGTTTTCTTCTTGACTCTATTTTTTTGTTTTCTTTGTCTCTTTGTCTCCCTGTCCTTTTTCCTCTTTCCTCTCCCTCCAGGCTTCCCTCCTTCTTTCCTCTCCTTTTTTCTCCTTCCTTCCTCCTACCTCCTCACTTGTCTTTTTTTTCCTTCTTGTGGATGTTACTTTCATCTCTATTACTTTTTTTTCTTCTTTTTTTTTCTCATCTTTCTCTTTTCTCCCCTCCTTTACCCATAAACTTTTGTATTATTTTTTACCTGAAAACCAGACTCCCCTGAATTTTCTGGATAGTAATCCTGTTCTTTTCCACATGGATCATTTCCAGCCATACCTTATAGCTTCCTTGGATATGCCAGAGAACCCTGCCACCCAGTCTCACCAAGTCAACCATACTCCTCTTCTTCCACTTTTATGTCTTCCCCTGGTGCTCATCACTTTAGTAATCTGGGTATTCTTTGGAAGAAGCCACAGTCCCTCTGGACCCATTTCCTCCAGCCCACTGCCACCCACCCACCTCTTGAACCTCGAAACACAGACCAGGTTTTCCTTTAGCTACTGTCCTTTAATTATCTTGTAGGCTCCGGAGTAACCACAGGAAAGCCAGCTCATGTTTGCTCAGCAGCGATAAACTGCACATTGAAAGCACACAATGAAAATGAATTCACTGGTCAAGGGACTTTTGAAAGGGAACAGGATTACAGCTGGGCTAAAATAATGTGCTTTTCTTGTAAACCAGTTATTTTCTCTTAACTCTATCAGGTGATCTCCAAGGTCCTTTCAGCTGTCATTCTGTGATTTTCTGGTTATCAGCAGTGAATTTCTAATTTACATTTTCTGTAGATATTCCAAGCAGGGACTTTCCAAGTCTACACCTCACATCTCATTCCCTGGTCCAGCTCTGAAAGGCCATCTCCAAGCAGCACTCCCTCTGTGGGCTCTCTGGTCTGAAACTGCCCTGGGGCTTCTGAGAAGTGCACCTACCTCTATGGCCATGCTGACAGGTGACCATTGTCAGACTATGAGAGGGACACCCAGAAGAAGCCAGAGATGCTGCCTTGCCCATGGAAATGGAGAACAGAATAATTAGGCTCTGGACCATTTGGGAAAGAAGGAAACCCCCCACCCCATTCAGCTAATTCCCCTGCAGACAAACTACAGAGAGGTTTTTTTTTTGTTACAGGGCTGTCTTAGGCCAGTTTCCATGCCAGCCAGAGGATTAGACACAGGAAGAACTGAGGAGCCCCACTTTGGGTTGGATGTGCCACCTTATCCCTTGAGCCCCCAGTGTCTTTCTGTAAAGATCTTCCTTCCTCCTCTGAGGAGAATGTGGGGCTTAACTGATGGCAGACCATCATTTTTTTTTTTTTTTTGTCCCAGTACAGCCCACAGTGTTCCTTCAGTATAAATTCTTTGAAGACCGCCTAAATATCACTTGCTCTGCCAATGCCCGCCCAGCCCCTGTGATCTCCTGGAAAGTGTCTGGGTCAGGGATTGAAAACAGTACTGAGGTTCTCTTGCACCCCAATGGGACCACGTCTGTCACGAGCGTTCTCCAGGTCAAAGACCCCAAGCGTCAGGTGGGGAAGGAAGTGGTCTGCCAGGTGCTGCACCTAGGGAATGTGACCAGTGTCACGCAAACTGTGGATAAAGGTAAGAGAAGGCTGTGGTTGCATCTGTGTACACACAACTGGAAAGTGGTGAATGTTCTGCAGAGCCTCTTGGCCTCTTAGCCAAGGAGCTAATAAGAGAGAGAATGGAGTAAGTGGGGGAAAAAAAAACAGAGTTGAGGAAACCAGTAGAGCCAGTTTTACTTCGATAACTGTTGTATGTTGCCCACATAACAAATGCTTTTGTTGAGATCCATCCATGCCTTTATTTTTCCATGCTGCTAACATTTCCTGAGTGTCTGTTGTGTGCCAGGTTTGGGGACTGTTGAAATGCGACAGTAAGCAAGACTCAGTCCCTGTGCTCGGAAAACTTCTGTTCTACTGGGGATACACAATGGGCAATTACACAACTGCGTGCGAAATGCTTCAGTAAGAAAGCTACGGTGCACCCGGGAGGATTGAGAATGGGGAGGAGAGGATCAGCTCAGTCTGGAGGGAGCAGGAAGATTTCCTGGAAGAAGTGACATCCATGAGGAAGGCTTTGCATCCTCTGCACTGTGGAACAGGGCCACAGAGCTTTTAAGAAACGGGCCAATCTGAGAATGTTTTCCTCACCCCTTTGAAACAAACTGCCTCCTGAGCAAGACCGTTTTTGCTTTCTTGTGTTTCTCTCTAAGCTGCTAGCTCTGGGCCTCATTGATACAAGAAGTGAGGCCTGTGGGCGGGAGAAGAGAGGGAGCGGCAGTTTTAGGCAAGATGCTTTGGGAATAGCCACGGTTTTCTTTATCTGTGTGGCTAAAGCATCAGCTCTGGACGAGGCTCTCAGTAATAAGTCTCCTACAAAGGTACTGATGCTTTTTTTTCAGGGAGCGTTGTAAACACTAAAGCTTGGGAAAACTTTCCCCTGTATGCCTTATTGGAGTGGTGGCCTCTAGGGAACATTTCCTATAGTCATTTTTGGGGTTATTGAAAAAAACAGACTAATCAAAAAGTAAACATTTAGGTAATTTTGGGCAAAAGATTTGTGGTGTTAGATCTGGACATTTGTGAAGAGATCCTCATTTTCAGCCAAGGCAGAAGGTAAATTTCCCTGAAAAGCAAGAACCTGAAAAGGAACATGTCTTCTTGTCCAAGAATGCCAGAATCGACTTACATCGTTTATAATGTTTATACGTCGTTTGTGTAATGTTTGTTTACTCTGCGAGCATTTACTAAAAGTCTTCCATGCCTCAAGCATTTATCAAGCACTGGAACCGTGGAAGTTAGACACATCTCTGTCTGAAGGGGCTCGGTTTAATTATGATGTGAGAAATCCTGTTACAGAAGTATGGGGAAGATGCTGGAAACTCCCAAATCAGGAAGCTCTTCCCCCGCTGTAGGATTGCGGAGTGACACTGAAGGGCTGCGTTTATTGAGTGTTGGAAAGAGGTTTAATAACAAAGACACAGATTAGAAGAAATACAATAAATACATTGAGATGAGTTACTCCTGGGGTTGGCATCATGAAATCCATGATTTTTTTCCCTTTATATATCTCTGTATTTTCCACAACTTCCTCAATAAATATATTATTTTAACGGGCTGTGACCTCTGACCGAGCCTTGGTTCTGCCCCTTACTATGCTGATTTGGGGCTTACTTAGCTTCTCTGAGCCTCAGTTTTTTGTTCTGCTGTTGTTGTTGTTTTTATATGTGCGACGATGATAATAATCCCTAACTCTTGGGTTGTTTTGAGGATTAAATGAAATAACACATTCAAAGCTCTTAGGAGAGAGTAGCCACAGAAAACATGTGGTTAGATTATTATTAACCAAATGTTATTGAAATAATATGAAACCATGAGTGGAGACCTCAATAGGTATATATTTGAGGATAATTTTCATCGAAAGCTCCACTCTAGGAAAAACTCATCGCAACGATTGCTTTATCGCTTTTGGCCTCGATGGTTTCTGCTTATGACTTTGTTTCTCCTTTCCCCCCCCTTCACCATCTATAGGGTTTTGGTTTTCCGTTCCGCTCTTGTTAAGCATTGTTTCCTTGGTAATTCTTCTGGTCTTAATCTCAATCTTATTATACTGGAAACGTCGTCGGAACCAAGACAGAGGTGAGTTATCACAGGAAGTACAAAGAAGGAAACAAATGATTTTTTAATAGCACTGTGGAGGGCACAGGAAGATGTAAATAAAGGATGGCAACAATGTGTCCTGCTTATTGTTGCTGGTGTTTTAGAACACTTTTGGGGTCATTTTCTTGCAGTTGGACATTTAACTGGATGTTTCTGCTTTTTATTTGCTAAGATCATTTAATGGCTAATTATTTGTAAGTTGAGAGTAAAGATCCGTGAGAGGAAATGTGGAAAATGTTTGTCCGATCCCTGTAGAGTCAGCTGATGGCCACACCAGAGAAAGAAGTCTCAGTACCCACACCGTGTTCTTCTACCCATTAACAAGAAGGACAGTCTCTTTTCCTTTTACAGCGAGCGCTCCCCGGGCCAGCTAGTCCACGTAAGAGACTCTGAAATTATCCAGTATACTCACTAATTAAATAGTATTTTCTATTTTATACTCTTACTATGCCTCAAATACTATTGGCAGCTTATAGGTGACCTATACTTATTAACTCCGTCATGTCGTTCTGTCCTTATAGACTATAAATTTTTTTCTGTCCCTACAACATCTATCACAGTGTCTTATGTATATGAAGTTCTCAATAAACTTTCATTAAGACAGTGAATGAATCGGATGGATAGATGGATGGACGGATGGATGGATGGACAGATGGATAGATTTTCAAAGTGACGTTTTCAATTCTCTTTTTCTTATTGTAATTTCAGTACCTCATAAATGCTGAGTCTAAAACCTTGGGAGATACTATGAAATGAGAAGCTCTAAAACAAGAGGAGTCAGCTAGAGAGAGAGAATTCAATTTTTTTGTTTTCAGGAGGCAGTGCGTAATTTATTAAAGTTAATGCAAAGCTTCAGTTTATGGTGTGTGTGACGGGGATTTCCAAGGGTGAAAGGCTGATATGAGAATATTTTCCATCCCGGATGACTGAAAGATAGGAAGAAAAAAAACTGTTGGTTTTTTTAAAGTTAAATCGTAAGCTATCTTTCATGTTGTAGGTTTTTTGAACACTTAATTTTGTGTAAGCCTTATATAAACACCAGATTAATTCTTGTGATTTTATAAGAAAAGCAACAAATCTTCAGTGTCAATGACGCTTTTGCAAAAGTAGATAAAAGTGTGTTCTGTGGGAAGAGGAGACTACAGATCAGACAATTTTATTGCATATAAACATAAGCCCATAGAATTCATTAGTGCTCTGCAGAATGTCAAAGGCAGTAAGTAGGCTGTTTGATTTTACTTTATCCAAACATTTCATTTTCCCATTAGGACTTGAAGCCAGAGAGGGAAATTGACTTCCTTCCCAAAGGTCGCACAGCTAGTTAACAACAGGCTTAGGACTAGAATCCTGGTTTTGGTCTGCTGACCTCTGCCAGAATGTTCTTCCAGCTATGATGCCCTGGAGTCCTGATTTGAAAGGCATTATTGGGTTGAATGTATTTTAGTCCTCGCTTGCTGTTACTGTTGTATTCTTTTGGAAAATGTGAGGAAAGAAGTATGAAGTGTTCAAACTCATCTTAAAAAGTCCCCGTTGGACAAGAATCTTATAATACAATCTATTCAAGCCCAAGGTAAATTCCACTAGAATGAGGCATTTGCAAAATAATTGTCCTTTGTTCATTAAGTAAGCCTTGGGTTTTCTGGGAAACATCATTGTTCAATGTCTTTTCCAGTTCCTGAAGCAAAGGGAGTCAGCTTATCTTTGTTTCTAGGCTTTTTCTCATTTATGAAAATAAACACCTGAACCTCTACAGAATCTTGCAAGCACTGGGATTGCCATTTACCAATGATGTCTTCATGACATACGGCCAACTCAGTTAATTACATTGAATGTTCAGTGGCACATTTTGGGGGACTGAATTTTTTTGCTGGTTTCAAATATTTTAACAGCCAGATGATTTGGTCCCATTTACTTAAATAGCTAGTAAAATGAAGTGTTGATTATGCTGGAGACTTAAACACTCAAGACCAAAACTGAAGTTATAACAAAAGTTGGGCGAAAGGGAAGAAAACCATAGAAGATGTTGACACTTTAAATTTCTTTACGTAGCAAATTGTGATTATCAATTTGTGACGAAAGCCAATGGACCTACTACATTCGCTTCCTATCTTTCCTTACGCTTACTTTGGATTTTCTTTTTTTCTTCTCTTTTTCTTTCCATCATCTCCTGAACACCTAAAACTTTTGGATGGGCAGGAAAACATGATCAGTCAAAAATGACACCAAATTTCTGATCCCGGTGACTGGAACAATGGTGATGTGCTCAGAAATAAGGAAGTGAAGAGGGGAACTGAATGTGTGTGAGTGTGTGTGTGCTTGTGTTCAAAGTTCACGGAGAGAGAAGGAGGAGAGGAGGGATGAATTCATTCTTGAACTCGCTGAATGCGGGTAGAAAGGAATCCTCTCCAGGGAGCCGCCCCATGGTAAGACAAATCTAGTTAAGTAAGTTTGACTCAGCAACAACAAAGTCTATTTAGATCAAAATCACTTATTCATTGCTCACAAAAGCACAAGCAAATTTATAGTTTTGGGCTAGAGGAGTGATCTCTAATGATGATGTCACTTTTGTAGAAAAATCACTTTTTCTTGTGATTCTGTTTAATGCCAGAGAACGGTTGTGTTCTTTTCACCAGTGAAGGTGAAATACCTCTGGAGGAAGGTATGATGACTTAGAGACAATTTCTCTTTGTATCAGTCCTGATGGGATCATTGTAGTTACTTCCCATGAGATGACATCAGTAAGATAGTAGGTTGATTAATAGGTTGGTATGTTTTCAAAGAACAGCCTCTTTTCTTTGTCTTTTGTGAATCCAGTACTATATTACTAAAACAGAAAGTGAAAAAATAAGATAAAGTTTCCCAGGGAAATTTTCCACCATTCTATAATAGTTCTTGCTATTAAAACCCAGTTGATGTCATAAATGTGCCCCTTCCACAATGAAATTAAATTTGAGCTTGAGAATAGCGTTTTATTTCTCATTAGTCAACCCACCGATGATTACATGCTTCTCAAAAACTCAACCTCACTTTGGGGCAGATCTTAATAGACAGATAATCACCTCAGTTTTTGAAATTTTTGAGTACTAGTTTTCTTTTGTTTGATTGAGTCAAGGCAGAATTGGCAAACAGTAGAAAATTTAGACATTCACATGAAATGCACATGCTAAATTTCACTTTTTCTTCAAGTGTCTAGCTATTTCATAGCAAAGTGGTTTTTTTTTTTCTTGCCCACATTATCTATAATTACCCTGAATTCTTCCACTTCACTTCATAATAATGTAACCTGTAAATGGGCTCTTTCAATGATAATGGCAGTGTTAATAAAACACTATATTCTGGGTGGAATCATGCCATTTTTTTCTATTTTAAGCTTAGTACTATATCAAATAACAGAAGTGCCCAATGGACAATTTATGTTGGTGAAATTGGTGACTAGTTAGAAGGACAGTACAAAGAGTATTTGTTTCTAAAATAATAAGAATCTTTGCTTTGCGTAATAATTGTACTTATGTCTCCCTGAGGCAGGCTGGATGGGCGGTAGCCAGCACCCCTGCCCCAGTTTCCTCATAGCTCCAAGCTGAAGAAATGGGGTGTTTTATACGAGAAAAGTGTGGGGCAACCTTTATTGAACTGCTTAGGTCAAAACTGCTGGGAGAAATCTTGCATTCCAATGTATTTTTCTATAAGAGTTTACCCTTGAATGGGGGCAGATGCCATCCATCATATCAAAATGTCACGACCAGATGACAGAGTCACTCACTAGCAGAACCTTAAGCTTGGGCATTCTTGCCTGAGCTGTTCTGTGTTTTGTTTTTTTTTTTACCACAGACAGCAGATACTGGAATTTTGGCAGGTTTAAAATGTTACAGTTTCTGGTAAAGAATTACTTAAGATTACACAGAGAATGAGAGGCAGCACCAAGATAAAATCCCAGGTCTTTGCCTGCCTTGTAGGGAGGTCCACATCCTTTCAGTTTAGGTGCTAGAAACCCGGTAGCCCTGGAAAGGCCCTCCATGGGTCTACTTTGTGACCATTCCCAGCCCAAGGTCCAGTGAGTTAGTATACACAGAGAACAAAGCTCAAGGTCTTATAAATAAAATAAATGTAGATTATTTGGAATTCTCTAACTTTTTTTTTTCACTTGTAGTCCTAAGTGATTCTGCAAAAGATTATTTCCTAGAATTTCCTATGTCCCTTGGAGAGAGTCATGGTCTCCCCACATCACATTGGGTCAGGAATGTCCTTATCTTTGCCAATGAACTATGCACAGGTGTATTCTATGCTTCTGTTATGTATCTTCTTCAAATGTGTTAGGATAGACATTATAAATGTTTGAAGTTAATATCTTGATCTTTCTTTTATCCAGAACCCTAGAGGAATCACACAGAACCCAGAAAAGTTACTCCCTGGTCTACTTGAATCTGACTCAGGAGGAAGGCAGGAGGAAAAAGGTCATTCTCTAAGGGACATAAAGAGCAGAAGAGGTAGGGGTAAAAGACCTAAGAATTTCAAGATTTTCTACTGCCATCTAAGCTACCCAGTGCTTGTGGGAGTTCCAAAAGGAAGTCGTTTTACCTCTCAAGTCTGTTGTAGGACTTGATTTTGTGAAGCAATGCAGTGTTGTGCTATTGAAAGGAGACTGGACTTTGAATCAGTAGCCACAACTCACAGGCTGACTCTGGCTCCAACCGAGGGCAACCCTCTGTCCGTCACTTTATCTCAATAAGCATCCACACCTGCATCCAGAAAATTAGGAAGTTGGACCAGATAGTTTGCCATTCTGCTCCAAAAACTGATGAAATTCCAGGAAAAAAAGGAATCAAGAAAGGAAAAAGAGAAAGGAGAACACGGGAAGGTGTTAAGGACCAAAGAGCTTTTCTGAGACTACCTTTTACCTTTCTGTTGCTGTTCTGTCTCTTCTTGCATATTGTTCTTAGGTCCACGAGTCAGTTTCCTCCTCAAGTGGTGGTAGTCCACTACCTGCTGACTGGTTTGTTAGTAACTGGTCTTTCTAGAACCCTTGGTTTCACTGCAGTTCTTCATGTCCTCCCGTGACTGACGTTTACCACAATGAATATGGGACTGAATTCATTGCAAAATAACATTGACCACCTTAACTTTACTTACCTACTCGTATAGAAGAAGTATTGTTAACCCAGCAGCTCACTTTTTTAAAAAAAAGCATTTCCTGTCCCATTTGACTTATAATAGGATCTGGTTCTATACCAGTCATTGTAAAATCAAAATGAAAATATATGATAAAATAAAAACAGGCATTTAGGAAGTTTCGAATTCAATTCAAAGTCAATTCAAATGCTTCTCCCTCCTGGCTTCTTTTCCCATGAGTTAACTTCTCGTAATAGCAGAGAAGGTATGTTTGGGTTTAGAAATCCCTTTGTTCTAAATTATATTGTTCTAACTAGTGGAACATTTTTGAACTCTTAAAAATCACAAGACCAAATTATTGACTTTTTCAGTATCTTTTGCTTTCTTGTCTCTACTCAGTGACCTAAGAAATAAAGCTTAAGTTGTTTTCACTGTTGAATTGGATATTTGTATATTTAGTAAGCTTTTCATGTGTTATTTAAATCTGTATTATTTCTTATATTTGTATTAAGATACTGAATGATTAAAAGTGTCAAATCTAAATATTTGGTTCATGACACTCTTTGGGGAAATGTGGACATTAATGATAATCTTTAGATTTTCCCTTTTTGTGTGAAACCCTCCTCTCTCCTCTATCTCTCACCCACTAGAAGATGCCACTGACATTTCTGATTAATCACAAAGTCACAAATCAGGTATCCCCGATCTGGCCAGTGAGAGGTCCGTCAAGTTGACAACTGTGTCCTTTGGACATGACCTGGTCAATTTGGGAGCACTTCCTTGTATATGCTCTTTTGATTTTGCTTTTAGATACCAACCTTTGCAAACTGATTAAGTTACTACAGTTTTGAATTTAATCAGAGCTACCACCCTGCCTGGTATCTCAACTGCCAGATCAGGCAGGATAACAAAAGCAGCAGTTCTCAAAAATTTAGAATGTGCTTAAAAACATTATTGAGGACCCCAGAGAGCTTTCTTGTAAAGAGAAGTGTTTGTTGATATTTACCACATTCGAAACAAAAATATACAAGCATACATTCTATTAGCCATCAGAATGATGTCCACGTTACACATCACGTAGTTTCTGGGAAGTTCCGCATCACGATTGTGAGAGAATGAGCATAAAAAAGGCAAATGATGTATTGGTGTGAACAATAGTTTTGACTTTTGTGGAGCCCCTGAAATGGTCTCAGGGACAATATTAAAGACTGATCATTTAAAATATATGCAAAGAAGGAGACCACCTTATGAGAAGATTTCAATGAGTCTTTCCCAAAGAAACTCCTTATTAAACAGATATCTTTACAATGCCTAAGCATTCTATTATTTCATCATAACTTATTGCAGAGAGCCTGAGGACTAATCCTTCTTCATCACTAATACAGGTGTACCTTGGAGATATTGTGGGTTTGGTTTCAGACCTCTGCAAAAAAGCAAGTATCACAATAAAACACCTCAGATGAATTTCTTGTTTTCCCAGTGCATATAAAAGTTATGTTGACAGTATACTGTACTCTATTAAGGGTGCATTAACGTTATGTTTAAAAAAAAAAAACCAACTATGTACGTACCTTAGTTTAAAAATACTTTACTGCTAAAAAATGCTAACCATCATCTGAACTTTCAGCAAATCATAACCACTGATCACAGATCACCTAGCAAATAGAATGGTAATGAAAAAGTTCGGAAAATTGCGAGAATTACCAACATGTGACACAGAGACATGCAGTGAAAAATGTTTTTGGAAAAATGGCACCAATAGACTTGCTCGAGGCAGGGTTGCCACAAACCTGCAATTTGTAAAAAACGCAGTATCTGTGAGGTGCAATAAAGCAAGGTACACTTGTAATTCAATTAAATTGGCTTATGAAATGGCTTCTCAGTTACCTTGGAGGATATTGAGAGACTTGGACTTTGAATAGTAGGTTGTAATGGACAAGACCTGGGAGGGTCGTAGCCCATGGAGGCAGGAGGAGGAAGGGGGGAACCGGATCACGTGGTTCTGCCCGAGAAAGTGGATGCATGTGAAACACCTTTGTTGCCCTGTGACCCCTGCCCCCTCACCCCTGGGAGGGCTCACCAACTCCTTTGTACTTATTCTGAATGTTCCAGTTAAGGGTGCTTTTTCTGTATTTGTGAATTGGAAAGAGGCAGCCTGGGCTTTGCCTGTTTATGTAAGATTGGGAAAGTTGTAAACATTCGAGTCACTTAAAATAATTCAATGACGTAGTTCTGTTGCTGGTAAAAATTTAGAAAAATTCCAAGATGGTGCTAAACCTGCCTCAGAGACAGGGAAATCAAAAGAAACCCTTTCTGCTTAAATAAAACTAAAACTGAAGATGAGAATTTGGGAGAGTGTGTAAAAATTTATTAATCACCAACCAGGTAACATTTTATAAATGCAGGTTCAAAAAGTACAAAATCCATATTGTAACTAGGGATCATAAAGCTTTGGTTAAAACAGTTTTCTTTTTTACAAACAAACTTTCTTCTATGACTATTCTTAGCCTTCCAAGAAAGAGATTTAACTTTTTTAAAAATAAAGCTCCCTGGGGCACCTGGGTGGCTCAGTGGGTTGAGGGTCAGGCTCTTGATTTAGGTGCAGGTCGTGATCTCAGGGTCATGAGATCTAGCCCCATGAGGGGCTCCACGCTCAGCAGGGAGTCTGATGCTCTCCCTCTTCCTCTGTCCCTCCCCCTGCTCATGAGTGGGGCCCCCTCTAAAAATAAATAAAGTCTAAAACAAACAAAAAAGAAACCGTTGCCGAGTTTTTAAAACAAATAAATAAATAAATAAACTCCTTAAATTAATTCCTCACAACTGTAATGTCCTTTGGTTTGGGAGTTTTATATTTGCCCCCACGATATTCCAGATTTGACCTCAGTCTCCCCACCACAGTTGCTCAGGCAGACGAACTTGCACGAGGTCACACAGAACTGCGGCTCATTTCTAAGCAAGCAAACTTCTGCCCAGGCATCACATTCCTTTGAGCCTTGTGCGATCAGGAACGTGTCAGAGCCCATTTTTCTCGGTGTGAAAAATGAGGCCCCAAGCTTCAGTGATTTTTCCTCCGGTAACACTGTAACCATGAGACGGGCTGAAACTCCAGCTGGGAATCCCAGGCTTCCTGCCCAGGGCTCTCTCTGTCCCCTGCACTCATCCCGCGATTCAGCCTCCTGTTTGTTCTATCAGTACTCAGAATCCAGTTCCTACCCCCAATCCTACCACCTTGCCCCAACCATCACTGTCTTTCTCCGAGACCGTTGTCATAGCTTTCCTTTTAGTCTCCCTGCTCTTTCTCCCCTGTTTGGTCTATTCTCATAACTGTTTTTAAAATGTAAGGCAAGGGGCGCCTGGGTGGCTCAGTCATTAAGCGTCTGCCTTCGGCTCAGGTCATGATCCCAGAGTCTTGGGATCGAGCCCCGCATCGGGCTTCCTGTTCTGCGGGAAGCCTGCTTCTCCCTCTCCCACTCCCCCTGCTTGTGTTCCTTCTCTCACGGTGTCTCTCTCTGTCAAATAACTAAATAAAATCTTCAAAAAAAAAAAATAAAATGTGGGCGCCTGGGTGGCTCAGTTGGTTAAGCAACTGCCTTCGGCTCAGATCATGATCCCAGGGTCCTGGGATCGAGCCCTGCATCGGGCTCCCCGCTCCGCGGGAAGCCTGCTTCTTCCTCTCCCACTCCCCCTACTTGTGTTCCCTCCCTCGCTGTCTCTCTCTCTGTGTCAGTTAAATAAATAAATAAAATCTTAAAAAAAAATAAAATGTAAGGCAATCCAAATCATGTCATTCTGCACAAAATGTCCAAATGCTCTGCATTTTATTTAGAGTAGAAGCCGAAGTCTTTACGTGGGCTGTAAGGCTCTCCATGATCAGGGCCCCTGATAACTCTCTGAAATCATCTGCCCCTCTTTCTCCTGATGGCGCTCTGCCAGCCACACTAGCCTCCTTGCATTTCACCACCTTCAGGCATGCCTCCACCCCAGGTCTGGGCACCTGCTATTTTCTCTGCCTGGAATTTTCTTTCTGAAGACAGCCACTGAAGCCTTTTCCCCAACAAATACTCTCATTCTCCTGCTTTATTTTTCTCTGTTGCACCCACCACCGTCTAGCATACTCTATGCTTTATTTATTTCATGTATTATGTGTCTTCTCCCATTAGATGGTAAGCAGAGATTTTTATCTGCTTGCTTGCTTGCTTTTTCCTAGCACCTAGTACAGGTGGCCAATAAATATTTTTTTGATAAATTCATGTTACATAATACATTATGGGAAGAAGGAGTAGTCCAAATAACTTCGCACTGGTATATCCTTCCTGCCCTATGGGAAAGTGTGATCAACCTAGACCGCAGGAAAGGACTTTTAGAAATTGGT